GATACCCTTTAGTGGCCCTAGCAATAACATTTATCAGCAGTACTTTTGCATGTAAAGCCCAAAGAAGCTAGGAGTTGCAAATAGTACCCTAAGTGGCCTAACTTTATACTGTAGTAAGCAATGACTTAATGCCCTGGAGACAAACTTGCTTTGTTTTGCAAAGAATTACCCCCCATAAACAGAGCTTCCTATTGACATGAAAATTTCAACCTAAGCACCATATTTTCTGGGAGTTCTTTGTTTCTGGAGAGAAATTAAGAGCACATTTTCAACTACATTTTAACAGCTTCACATTAAAAAGAGAAAATGCATAAGAAATTTAAAATTTTGAAATAAAAAATTATTTTGCTCTTTCTTGGGCCATCTCAGTAGTTAGAGGAGATGCATGATTTAGCTGTGTATTAAAGCACCTTTAGAAAGCCACAGTTCAGTCTTATCTGTTTTCTTTAATAATTTGTATGAAAAAAGATGAAACCCGTAGAAAACACATGGATTGTGTCTGGTTTCAATTTTGCTTCATCTATAAAAAGTCAACACTTCCTGTGAGCATTATCAGACAAAACAAATAGAGTATCAAAGACAATTATTTTATTAACTTGGAAAAGAACAAACCATAATTGAGCATATCTGCAGGTTTTGGCAAACACTAATGAATGTTGGTCTTTTCTCTGCATGCATTTTTTGAGCAAGACATACCTTTTAAGGCCAATTTTAAGTCAAAATTCATTTAGAGGTGGATCCCCGCGGCCCCTCCTCCCCGGAGCGGCCCACTTTTCCCATGCGAGCTGCTTCTGCCGCTCTGGCTGCCCGCGGGAAACATGGCGTCTGCCCTGGAGCAGTTCGTGAACAGTGTCCGACAGCTCTCAGCTCAAGGGCAAATGACACAGCTCTGTGAACTGATCAACAAGAGTGGGGAACTCCTTGCAAAGAACTTATCCCATCTGGACACTGTGCTTGGGGCTCTGGATGTACAAGAACACTCCTTGGGCGTCCTTGCTGTCTTGTTTGTGAAGTTTTCTATGCCCAGTGTTCCCGACTTCGAAACATTATTCTCACAGGTTCAGCTCTTCATCAGTACTTGTAATGGGGAGCACATTCGATATGCAACAGACACTTTTGCTGGGCTTTGCCATCAGCTAACAAATGCACTTGTGAAAAGAAAACAGCCCCTGCGAGGAATTGGCATCCTTAAGCAAGCCATAGACAAGATGCAGATGAATACAAACCAGCTGACCTCCATACATGCCGATCTCTGCCAGCTTTCTTTGCTGGCAAAATGCTTTAAACCTGCCCTTCCATATCTTGATGTGGACATGATGGACATCTGTAAAGAAAATGGGGCCTATGATGCAAAGCACTTTTTATGTTACTATTATTATGGAGGGATGATCTATACTGGGCTGAAGAACTTTGAAAGAGCACTCTACTTTTATGAACAGGCTATAACTATTCCTGCCATGGCAGTCAGTCATATCATGTTGGAATCATACAAAAAGTATCTTTTAGTGTCTTTGATATTACTGGGCAAAGTACAACAGCTACCAAAATATACATCTCAAATTGTGGGTAGATTCATTAAGCCTCTTAGCAATGCATACCACAAGTTAGCACAAGTTTACTCAACCAATAACCCCTCAGAACTCTGAAACCTGGTGAACAAGCACAGTGAAACTTTCACTCGTGATAACAACATGGGACTGGTGAAGCAATGCTTGTCATCTCTTCATAAGAAGAAAATTCAGAAGCTAACAAAGACCTTTTTAACACTATCATTACAAGATATGGCAAGTCATGTGCAGTTATCTGGACCTCAAGAGGCAGAAAAATATGTTCTACACATGATAGAAGATGACGAGATTTTTGCAAGTATTAATCAGAAGGATGGTATGGTCAGTTTCCATGATAACCCTGAAAAATATAATAACCCAGCTATGCTTCATAACATTGATCAGGAGATGCTGAAGTGCATAGAATCAGACTATAGACAGAGATTTAGCCAAATCTGAAATACATTATTATTGAAATTAATGATAATAGAAAAATAAATGTTAAGTTGTCATTGTGGTAACTTTCCAAAATGGTGAATTATTAGCTATAAACATTTGCTGCTTTGGCAAGTTAGACATGTTATTTATAAAGAGAGATACTGACTTGTTAAGTATGGGATTGATTCGTGTCTTATAAATATTTACCAAATATATCCATTTCTAAGCAATTTTTTTCATTAGTAGAACAAGACTGAAATTATTCTTTAATCATAGTTTTTTATGATGTTGACTCTTCCCCTTTTTTAAATAAGAAAGACTATTATGCTTTACTCAAACTTGAAAAATTGATCAGCTGGGTGTCAATTTTGCATGATCAGAAAATGAGATAAGCTCCAAAATTTTGAAATATTCTGGCAAAAATGAAGCTGGAGATTTTTTTTTTTTTGATTGGAAAAATTCATCATACATTACAACTTGGTTAATATTCACCAAAACATATGATAGGAAATGTTTCAGTTGTTTTCTCCAGA